TTTTCCTAAAAGAATATTACAATAGCAGTTTTGCGATCAACAAATGGATTTCTCCACTGTTTAACTCTTTATTTACCGCCAACTGTTTTTCAATGGCAGGATATTTTTTGAAGTAAAAGCACAATGGTGCTGAGATATTTGGAAAATTCGGAACCTCAGGGCAGATTCCAGCCAGTGATTATCCTTTCTGGGGATTCACGTTTTGCCAAAAGCACTACCCATACTTTTGTTTTGCTTTTTTCTCGACCTGTTTTTTACCTAAATTGTTACTCACTGATCGGAATAGAATCGGGAGATACCACAAGAGCTGCACACTGACTGCCATCGTACAATGAAAAGGGTGTGTCCGATTGGCCGACAGCGTGCGTCGACATAGTGGACCGATCAAGATTCAGAGTACAGTGGTAAGAGGTATTTCCTAATTTGTGCTCTGACCGGACAGCGCTTCAACAGATCTCCAGTTTCTTCGCGTGCTTTCACATTCACTTACTCTTCAGTGACGAACCCGAAGTGAAGGTTAAAATGACTTGAGGAATAAATGTGATAAAGAGGTCCTAAATTTTATTGTAATAAAATATGAGAAAAAAAAACTTGCATCACGTAAATCAACACTTGAAGGCGCGATTTGTAACTGCTGAAGAAATTTGGCAGCGCCTAATTAAAAATAATCCTCTCCGATGTCGTATTAAGGAGCGCATGAGGTGTAATGGTTTTATGAGTCAATGTACACGTGGTCAGTGGTTCGATTCCGCTGCACGAGCTCGCAAAGTTTCAGTCTTTTCGGAGTTAACAAATCGACGCCAAAGTTTGTCTGAGAGGAGAGTAGCACTAAATTGATGCATCGGTAGGCGACCGTAATTCATTTATAGACTGGATGTGCACCATTCAATTGCATCTAACAATGCTCGATGAAGTGGAATGCATGGCGAATCCCTCAAGGACCGATCAACCCGGAAGACTTCGTTCCTTATCCTTTGATAGCACGTAAAACCGTCTGTTTACCTATACTTATACTTTACTCTTACTCTCCTTTATTCTTTACTGGTGTTTGTCTCAGAAATGTCTAATGCTCGTTCCAAACAAAGAGGAAATACCGGAGCCCGCAAGAAATCGTTACAACACTTCTAAGAATAAGGTCAAAAAAATTTCGTTTTTTTCATTTGCATTCCACTTTTTCATATCGTACTGTTTACAAAATGCTTTAATTTTTTTTTCTAATTTTTTCTTCGTATCTGCGCCGACATCACATGGAAATAAGTTAGGCTCCACCTGTGCCACAGCCTGTACAACAATTTCCAGATCTTCAACCACATAATAAATTCATGTCTGGCAAATTTCATGCTCAGCTTGGAAAAAATTGAAATAAGTTCTTCATTGATGACTACTAGTACTACTTTTCTTGTTTGGACTGGAAACAACGTGTCGGAGCCAATCTTAACACAACCCTTTTTAGGGTTTAAAAAGTAAAATTGAAACTGATCGATAGAACTAGCTGAGAGACAGGCAAAACGAAGGACCCGGATGGTGTGGTGGTGAAGTGCGCTGCACCCCAGTAAGGACAACAGCACGTGTTCGTTCCCCACCGCATACACCTGCGGTCCGGAGTTTTGCAAATATCTCAGCATTATATACGAGTTATATTTACTCACTTATTTATTTATTTCTTTGGCCCGTCTTCACGTCTACTTTGCGGATCACAGAAGTTCTCATATTCATTTCCTTTCCTCTCATCCGTTGTCCACGAAGGTCTTCCAACTCTACGTGTGGTTTCGGTTGCTGTTTGAAGATTTTCATTTTATCTTGAATGTTATAGAATGCTGGCCGAGCAATTCTGCCTGGAGTTCTGAGTTAGCCAGGCTGGAACGTTCTTAATTGGGTTGCAGAGAGTGTTTTTTCCAGGCAAGTCCGTTACCAATTTCCCGACCCCAGAGGGATGAGAGGCTTGTTTGGCCCGCAGTGGAATCGAACTAACACCATGGTGGTGAAGACGGGCGGTATCACTACCACTGTGCTATCTGCATCCTAATGGTAAAATTAAGGTGAATTTTCCAGTGTTCCTGGCATTACCCTCTATCCGCTACGAATTTTGTCCGATACGCAGCAAAGCTTGATGCTATCATTGAGCAACTGTTCTTAAATAGTCTAAACTTCGCGAACTGGCCACGTTTAACGACACCTGACAAATTGTAACAACGTGTCATTTGTAACATTTTGGTGTTGTTTTTCTCAAAGGTTTGAACAAGTGTCAATCATCAAATAAACTTAAAGTAGAACCGTTCGATGTGGTAGAGAGATGTGAGGCTTCATCAATCTAGTTTTTTGAACATGGAAGAAGTGGACGTTCAGTGATTAAAGGAGCTCTTCTATGCAAACATATTCGCTGGTTCAATCCCGGGCTCTAGGTAAACTAAGCTCCTGTTCAAAATCTAGGACAGGCAAATTAATACCCAGCTTGCCTGGCAAGATAAAAACACTGGTCTAACAGATCAGTGGGCTCTTGGATGTTGTTTTGTAGAGCAAACATGTAATGAAACACCTACATGATGCCTTAGTGGAGATGAATGATTGGTATGATTGGTGAAACCTGGAATGATTCCAAAGGATATTTCGACTGACTTATCTTCTGTACGGAAGAACTCCATAGGTTTCGTTCAGTGAATTATATTCTACGTACTGCATTCACATTCCTATGACGACCTTCAACAAGGGGCCAACCAATCCACAGTTTCAGATCATCTAACATCACACCTCTTTCTCGGCCGTGAGATTTACGGAATGTTTATTGCTGTTGCTTCACACAGTCTTAGTCCTTAGTCCTTAGCAATCAAATGAAAGGCTAGGTGCCACCGAGAAAAAAATCTGACAGCACCGCTGTGTCAAAATACTGCTGATTGATAATAGAACAGGTCCTCCTACGGAGTATTAAGTCGTAATAGTAGATCTACTGTGCCGTCTATTTGTAGTCACCTGAGATCCAACACACAAACTCCAAGTACAAGCTTTCTACTGGAAATGAGACGACAGTGGAAAGTGCCTTTTTGCTCGATTCTATCGTAGCGAAGCATTTAATGTGATCTTCAGAAGGAATGCTTCCAAGTTAAAACTACCGACTTCTTTTTACTTCCAAGAGTACCAAGGTGAATCGCCGATGAAGTATCCATCATGGCCATGAAATAATTTAATATAATCGTTCCATTTCAAAAATTTATTCGACGTACAGGTAAATAAAAAATTCTTACAAAAAGAACACAGTTCGTATGTAAAGGAAAGAAGACAGTCCTTGGCAATATGATAGATATAGAAACAGATTTGATAAATATATAGATAAATTGGTAATATACAGATCCATTTGATGAGAATTCTTTCGGAGAGTCCGAACGGTTGATCAAGCCCCTATTTTCAGACTATCGTTGTATCGTCGGAGAAAAATCGATTCGGATTGCTTGGAAACTTTGGCGAGCGACTGATGGATCTGAATAGGACGAGTTAAAGACATTCCCTTGCACCCCATAGAATTCTTTTCTTAAAATGAATACACCATTAACTCTACGGTTAACTAGGAGTGATGAGTGAAGGATTTTGTGGAGTATAATACGTCCTAGGAATGCTAAATATAGCATTTCGTTGATAACAACAAGTTCACAAAAACCCAAAACTACGCTGTTCACCAAGGTCCACTCGATCATTAGAGGTGTTTTAAAGTCTACTCCAAACATATCACTTCCATATCAACATTTTGGAAAAGTATAATGGTAGAAAACCATGTACGATAGCCCATGACACATGTTGTGCAGTGCTCGGGGGCGCCCTGCAATAAATATGGGATCGATCCCAGCGCCCCAGGCTCACCAAGCCTCTACATAAGCGAAATAAGCGTGTTTCGAGCGATTCACAACGTCTAACGTGCGCAAATCCTCGAAATAATCGTTTTTCGGGCGATTCTCTCGACTGAAAACCGCCATCCCTCCGGGGTCGGCAAACTGGTACCAGACTTGTCTGGGATGATAGCAGCATTGGCTCGATACATCGGTAAGCCACCGCTAGTCATTGTAAAGGCCAGATATGCATTCAATCACCTCCAACGATGCCTAATGAAGTCGAATGCAAGGCGCATCCCTCAGGGATTGATCAACGCCAATAGTTTATCTTCATCTTTTTATAATGGCAGCAAATGCAGAATGTGCTGCGAGAACAACGAATTTGAGAAGGAACTTGAAACACTAGATCGTCTGTCAAGGTTCCTTATAAACTCATAGCGAATTTTCCGGTTTTGTATCAAGAAAAACTACGTCTAACATGGCAGAACGTTTACGGTTTCGACGAGAAACCAATTTCCGAAGACCTAAGTAACATCATTCTTGTCACTTATCAGTTATTTGCTGAAAACAGACTTTCATTTCTTGTCTGTGCCTCACGGTTCACAACTTCGTTTCTGCGTTCTTTAAGTAGTCAGCCAGGTATGTTAAATTAGAATGCAAGGAATAACGCCTTTGCCTTAACTTTTATTTAGTGCCCATTCCTTTCTCGTAGCAGGGCACTATGTGGAATACAAACACAAGGTGCTGAGATATGAACGAAACTTGGAGCCTCAGTTGGCCTTCGAACCCGCCATAACTTTTACGGTGGCTCACGTGCTTTCCAATGCAACACACTAGGTCGTTGAATTGCCTTTCTGCTATGTTTTACTCTAACGGTGCAATCGGCAATCATTGCTGCGATTTCTACTATAGGTTCAGCATGGCTGGGTTTATTACGGATCTGATACACCACAGATCGCTCCCGTTGACTAGCCATTGCTGATAGCACCGACAGAGTAACAACACAGCTGAGAGCAAGGCAAAGCGAGGGCCTCGGCTAGGGTGGTGGATAGCAAGTAAGCTCTCGGTGAGAATAATGTGCCTGTGTTTTCTAACGTTTGCTGTCCAAATCAGCTATCTACTTAGTCGCAAACTTTTCCAATTTCAGTAGCCGATTTAACGTTTGAAATCTTTTCAAAACGCTCAGATGACTCCAAAAGCGAACGCTAATATTTTCAACCTCCGTAGTTGAGATCGTCCTTTGAGCACGGTTTCTCGTAAGCTGTCTACTCGTTCAACAGCTCGTCGAATCGGCCGAGGTCGGTGTTCACGCCGTAAGTTGCCGCAACATCGGAACGCACATACACAGCCTGCAATGAAAATATCCAATACCAATTCATCGCATGCATTGTCTTCAATGCAAGTCAATTCCGACCGTCAATTTTATCGCAAATAATTGACTTTCCATATTTCTTGCATTCAGTCGATAAATCAGCTGTTTTGTGAGGCATGGTTAGTGAAAAGCTGTTCGGCATGCTTAAGAATCCACAAAGACTTCTTTTCGGAAGAATGTTTCAATAAACATCGCGTACGGTGAAGAATTAGAGCCGAGTTCGTGTTTATTTCAACGATTTTCGATATAGCTTCACATATTATTTGCTTACCTTCTTTACAATAGATGTTTATGTTTTTCGAGAAAACTTTAGTAAATAAGACCTGCAGTGGTTTTTGCCAGTTTAGCGCTTAGCAGACAAATAGTAACCCATAGATTACAAGTTTTTTGTAGTCTCATATTTATACACAAACTGTGCCATCCCTATGCCTAATGCCTAGCACTTCCAAGAAATATCGAGGAAGAAGCATACATCTGCAAAATTTCTAGTCGTTTCTGAAGTACAAAAAAGTTGTTCCGTGAGCACCGCTCGTCCGAGGAGTGAAAAGAACACTACACTTTATATATTGGTCATTTTATTATATTTTCATCGCATCTGGCCAAAGTACACTCAGGAGTACGCCGCCTGTTCCTGTTTTGGCATAGATTTACTCAAAGGACGACTTCTGTATGGAAATGTTGAACTCTTTCTTAACTGAGATAACCTCAAGAATTTATCCACCTTTCAACAACGACCACGGCGTAAAACTACTGAAAAGTACAACTACAATGATGTTGAGATATTTGCAAAACTTGGATACCAGGGTTGATTCGAACCGGCGATTACCCCTTTGGGGTCGCGTGCTACCCACCGCACCAATAAGACCCTTGCTTTATCTTTCTACTAACCGGTTTTTTTTACCCCAACTGTACTATCCGTAATCAGCTGTCAACGAGAATGTTCTAGAAAGTGCAAATCCGCAATAAACAGAGTTAAGCTGAATTGTGTTGTTTAGATCACTCCCTACGGTGGGTAACTGCTTATAACAACACAGAGTAATGATATAGCCGAAATATGGGTAAGGCAAAAGCCTCAATCAGCGTAGCGGATAGCACACGAGCCCCCGGTAATCGCGGCTTCGAAATCCATCCGAGGTTCCGAGTTCTGCCCATATCTAAGCATCGCTGTGGCTGTACTTCATAAAATAATTATTGGTTGCTAAAGATGGCGCATTGACCACAGTGGATAGAAATGACCCGCAATACATACAGGGTTGGTACATCTTTTAATAACTCGAAAAACCGAATTTCTATAAACCTTGGCATAAACAATTAATATGTCTAAGCGTGCTAAGCAGATGCGAGGTTAATATAAGTTATTGTTGTTGTTGTTGTTGCTGTTGTTTGATTGCTGTTTCGGTGATTTCGTCTTACTGAGAACCTGGGCATATTTTATTTAACAATAGCCAGCTAAAGAACCACCGTCCAAATTGCCCTGTCATTTACTTGCTTATTGAAACACATAAGCTTACTTCAACTGATGATATTACGTCAACAAACCCATCATCATTTAAAGTTAGACCTATCAACAGTTGTATAGGCGGGCCAACGGATAGAATAACGTCGTTCCTAAACCTTATCCTGACCCAGTTGCTAAAGTCCATTTCAACCCATTTACCTAACACCGAAATATGTCTAGACCACCTACGGTGCGAGCAATCAAACAGTACGCATGCAATAGATATGTTCGATGTTACTTCACTTTATACCAATGTGTCGAATGAGTTCGCAATTCAAGCCATTCTCGAGCTGCTCGTAGAACATGAAGTGAGAATAAAAATGCACGGCTTGTCGATTGCGCAACTAATGACTCTCACAAAACAGTGTCTTAGTTGTTCAATCTTTAGGTGGTCTGGAAAATATTTTGCACAAATTCGAGGGCTGGCCATGGGACAGTGAATAGCACCAAGTCTTGGCATTGCTTTTACGCCTAAGATGGAAGCTCCAGTGCTCGATCGCCGACCCTTACTCTACTCGATATATAGACGACTGCTTCATCGCCTGTTACACACAAAAACAAATGGACGAATGCTTGTTAAATAGACAATATGAATATGTAAAATTCTCAAGAGGAAAACCAATCAAGAACTGGCTTCCATTCTTAAACATCCAAATAAAGCTCTCAGAAAGTGGCTATGCAACAAAATGACACCGTAAGCCAAGTTGTAAAAATATACTACTATACTACCTCACCTCTCATTCTTTGCATATGAAAAAAGCACTCATCAAAAACATGTACCGATGGGCTAAAAATGTCTGCACAGGAGACGAGGGAAAGAAGGATTCGTTAAACTTGGTGCGGAAAAATAGCCATTTCCAATGGCTACGAAGCAGAAGCCATTAGATTTAAACTGAAAGGTAGAGTTATTCCCTAAAATTATCTTTCAGACCTAAGTAAGTTCCCTTTGAAGCCGCCATTCATATCAAAAGAAATAAGTTACGCCATTAAGAGATGTCTAAGATAAAGTGGTATTAAAAGTTTGGTGGCTGTTATTAGCCTCCCACCCATTACTCTACGGCGTCAGCTAGCTTGCAACAGCCTCTGTAATCGTTTGTGGAGCTCAGAAAACTGTGTAATCTGCCCTAAAGTGAAGGACGGGGATTGCATGAGTTCAGGTACAATATGCTTGATCTCATGTAAGGCATATGGTGAGGAATACATAGGGGAAATTGGGAGACCATTTTGCGTCCGCATAAAGAAATATCTAGATGTGAAAGTTAAAATTCGACAAAATACTCCTGTGGCTACACATAGGGGACGAAAGCACAATGGTGATGATTTTGAACTGATGTCCGCATCTTAGCATAGGAATCAGAAACATCAATGCGCAAGATTCTTGAAGCGTTTTGGATAGGTTTCGAAACTCCAAAGGTGAACTGGAAAGACGAATGCCCCACTGTCACACGTGACCTGGCACCCTATTTCAAATTGATTTTGTGACATGGGTGGGTACCCCTAGTAATCCTACGTGGGCAACACAGGTAGTGCTACCCGCAACAGCATGGTGTGTAGTGCTTTTGATCAATATGGCGTCCATTCATGTGTTAGGTCTTCATTAATGACACAGATTTTTCACCAAATGATAAGGCCATTGTTACATAAAATACGTCCAGTTCCTGAGGAAGGCGAAATCGCAGAAACGTGAGCAATCAAACAGCAGCAACAACAGCAACAAAAACAACAACAACAATAACAATAACAATAACAACAACAACAACAATGACAGTAACAACAACAACGACAACTTATACTGACTACACAGCTCAAGAAGCGCAGTTCGTAAGAACATATATAAACAAACAGGGTTGTCGGTTTGATCATACATCTTGAGCTCCCCCCTGTAGACATTCTTCCTCCCTATAGATTGGCAAATTGGCACCGAATTTCTCTGTGGATAAAAGACGTCTATCTGGTAGATTGGTAGACGAGCGCAAGTCATTCCATTAGTCAAACTTGCTATCAGTCACCTCTTGATACTTAATGGACTCAAAGGTATGGCGTATTCTTCAGGAATTGATCAGCGATGAACGTTTCCCTTTGTCCATCGTTTCCCATTCTTCATTATCAAATGGCGAATGGGCTGCCGTAAAGTAGTCCCATTAATAAAAAACATTCCCATTGAAGTTAACCGATTTGAAGCAACAATTTCAATGCTGCCATATTGACGAGGAATTTTGCGGTTACGACTTAAAGCACTTAGGAGTTGTTGGATCCGAAACCACTCCTTTTTCTCCTAGACATTACGAATTGTTTACACAATACGAACTCTGGAAACCGGAAATCAAGGAAGACCTACATGTAATTAACAGTGTAAGAAGCACTGCAAGTCCGACGGCCACTAGCAACGACAATGTTCCTGTGTCGACTTTACCTTGCTCTTCTCCGTTCAACTCACGAAGGAGTTCCGCTGAAATCGTGCTCTTCCATCTAGTACTTAATGCCAGTGCAGTGAAACTTCATACTTGGTAAAAATCCACTACATTTCTCTCTATATCGCAAAATCTTAATATGGTGCAGCTGGCAGTGCTTTATCATTTATTCTCACGGTTTCTATTACCATGTAGAGACTTCCAATACAACTACGGGTGTACCTGGCATGACTGACATATTTTTCATGGAACCTATGTAAATGGAACATCAATTTAATTTACACCATTGACACTGATCAGTGCCATGAGTTTTGCGCTATTTTCTTACTAACCATAGAGCAGTTTACAGTAGTGAAATGTTCATTATACAGCTGAATCATCAACGAAACCAAAATAAAGATCATGATAATCCACTGTTCTGGAACGCGTGTAGTTGTGGAGGTGCTCTGGAATACACACTTGGTCACGTCACTGATTCGATCACGGGCCGCGTACTGAAATCCTCCAAACGTCCGGAATCGAAGGATTGATACCATACTTATCTGATGGGATTTAAAACAAATAGTTGATAAAACTGTAGGCCAAGAAAGCCGGTTTCCTTGCCAAACATGCATTTGATCAGGCCAACACCGAATGCTTTGTTCTTTATCGTAACAGCATGATATACATTTCCTTCTTTACACAACCTGTTTACAAGCAGTAATGGATGCATGATATGTTTTCCTTCTCGTCGTTAAACTGGCCAATATGTTGACTTGCAATAACAGTTTCCGACCCCAGAAAGATGGAAGGCTTAATGGGACCTGGGCGCGGGATTGAACCAGCGACAAATCTAGTGTGTATTGAAGAGCATCTCTAAGCACTGCGCTATTCTTCAAATGCTAATTATAAACTCCGAACTGACAAAGTGGTGAAAAACGTGTAAACGTTAAAACACTAAATTCTATTAAACCAAAATATCTAGAGACTGGTAGCACAAAACAAGTCATGAAACAAACATTTTCTTAGCAAATTTTTTTGGGGTTCCGAGCCTTGCTCATATCTCTCTATTTCTCTGTGGTTAGAAAATTTTCTTCCCTCTTTTCCAAAGAATATATTCAGTAAGTATCGTAAAGTAATTGATTAGAACAGACGCTGCAATAATTACCGATGACTTGTGACAGAGCCAAATACCACTGATCAGCTTGAATAAGTTCATTAACCTAAACACAAACAACCTTAGTAAAAACTATTCTCTAAAAGGAGAATTTGTAGGCGAAAGAAAACCTTTGAAAGAATGTTCTTTCGTTCTTCTACCGTCACGTACTTCTCGGCCAAACGGGCTGGCCAGATGATCATCTAGACAAAGATTGTGAACGCTTAAATTAAAGCTGATAAACACTTTGAATAAGTTTAAAGACAGGTATACTGTGATAGAATGAAATATTTAACTAAAGCTATCTCATATTGGCAGCGCGAGAAGCGTAGTGTTCAAAGATGTCATGCAGTGCACCCACGAATGGTCATTAGTTCGACTCCACGGGCAAGCAAGCCTTTCATCCCTCCGCAATCAGTAGTTTTTCACTAGACTTTGTGGAAGGAAAGCATTTAGATTTACCCAGGCTAGTCATTTCTGTGTTGAATACCTGAAAACGCTCTAGTAGGGCCGCACAAAATTAACCGGAGCAGCAGTCAACGGCATTCGTGAAGAAGATAAAGAACATGAAGTGGCATCCAACCCGTACGTAGATCCGAACACCTTTGCGAAAAGCAGTAAACAGACGGAAAAAAGTGCTGATTCGAACAATGTGTGATGCCCAATTGTGTAAATGTGTAAGATTAAATAATTCATATTCTAGTCGAAAACTAATAAGTTACTAATAAGGATTCTTAGTCTCTGTATGTCCAGGTATTTTAGAAAATGTTATACCTTTTTGTTTTCTGCCTACTATGATTTCGCGGCAGGGTACTAAGCGAAATGCAACCACAACGTTGCTGAGATATTTGCAAAACTCTGGACCGCAGGTGTCTACGGTGGGGAACGAACGCGCAATTGTCCTTTCCGGGGAGCAACGCGTTCACCACCACACCATGCGGGTCCTTTGTTTCGCCTGTCTCTCAGCTATTTCTATCGATCTTTGCCACAGCAATCACCCGTCAGCGGGACTGACACCTGCGGTCCAGAGTTTTGCAAATATCTCAGCAACGTTGTGGTTGTATTTTAGAAAAATTCCGACAGTTTCTCATAACATTTCCATAGAAATTGTCAAACAAGGAGATAAGACGAAGAAACCACAGAAGGCACAGGATCAAACAGAACTGAGAGAATTGTAAGAAAAGACTATAGAGTTTTTCTTTCACAGAGATGTCTGTGTTTACCACATCGTTCTTCATTTCCTCTATTGCGACTACATTTCCAAGTCGAACATTCACCGCAATTAATGTGCAAATTCTTTCGGATAGAAAATAAAGCAGACGGAACCTAAAGCGCCAGGTATTGATTAATCTCCGAGGTGCAAGCTATGCATTCGACACAACTAAGCATCTCAGAGAACATTGAATGTTTTTTCAAACCTCATGTAATCTCTAATGGAGGGATAACGATGTAACAAGTCAGTGATTTAGTTTATTAGACAAATCTGGCACCAAGCTGCCCACTCTGAAGCGGTAGAGAACTTGATTTGTCCATAAGCGGGAACCGAACCATCGACCACAAGTGTATTCCATAACACCTCCAACCACTGTGCTACACAAACTCGCGGATGGAAAACAGCTTAAGCATTTCCTAATCATGTTACCTTTTTGTAGTGCTCCCAAACAAAAACGATCACCGAGTTGCCACAGTCACCAAGGGCCCATCGTCCCTCTAAAGCACGACAGAAAGACTCTGCTCGTTCGGTGAGTTGACTGCAATTCTAAGTCGTTGTAATTTCAATGGCTTGAGCTCAGTACTTGAGTGTGGTGCATAACAGTCTCGCGACGACGCCTAATTTCCGGTTTGTTGCGGAGTGGACGACACCTAACTTTCACCGTCCATAGATTTGATGGTTTTTTGAAAATACGCAACAATTTTTCGATAACTAGAGGTGATTTTGGGTTAAAAACATCAGTGGATTGTACAAATCACCCTGCTCTATCGATCTACAGGCATGAATGGTATTTATAATGCTATTTACTAGATGTTATCATGGTTCATCTAAAAACACATTACTGTTAGCAATAGAAAGTGTTGTGCAACCTCTCGTCTGTAGCTCAATATTTTTTATATCCGCATATTCCATACGAGGACTATCAGTCGTTATACATAATACTTGATACTGGAATAGCCCGTCCTCACTGGTTTTGCATGCTCCAGCATAGTCTCCATTTTTCGGAGATTTGCTAGCCAAGCCACTGTGGTTCCCTGGAAATCCCAGGTCAGCCAGGCAAAAGTCTGCCCCACGTCCTCACCACCACAGACAGTCGCAGCCCTTGTGGATCAGAGGGAGATTTGTCATCATGTGACTTTGATACCAGGACGGTGGTGGATCGTGGTATTGGTTTACCCTTAGCTAGGCTTCCTACTGGAAACGCCGGACTCCTTCTCAGCTTCGGAGACCCTGCCAGAGGATGAATCCCCGCTGTACATCGCAGTACGACACCCAGGGACATCTCCTAGCTACGATGAGACGGCAAACCGTTAGGAGGATCAATCGTTATAGCAATTAGAATTGAAATAGTCATTTATCACTCAAAATTCTGGCCAGTGAACTCTTTCGGAAACGGATTTTGTATACTTTTCTGTGCAAAATAGAGTGTCTTTCCGAAGAACGCCCAACCTAACATCTATATTCTACAAGCTATCATTTGATAACAAAACGTATAGGCATATAGTTCTGCGAGTTAAAATGAACTATCGGAAAGAAAGAGACCTATAGGTGTCCTACCGGCCACTTCCGCAAAGCCATTATGACGGCTAAAGGTATCGCTCGTCGCGAGAGTTTTAAGCCCTTGGAGAAGGAAAGAACATTCTGCTGTTTATCTAAACCCGTTTATCCATGTGTCAAGAGTAGTATCGTTAACAAGAAATCCAGTAATTCGAAAAATACTGAAAGTAGATAATTTCTTTAGTCCACTAATCAATGACTGCAATGACTGATTTTGACTTGGCTTTGATTTTGACTTCTTCTTCCTTTGTACTTATTAAATAAACAAGGAATTGTTGGCCAACGTCGAGGCTAATAAAAAGTCAGTACTTGGAATTTGATTTCTTTGTTCTGTTAGATTCCAAACTTGCGCTATTGTTTGAAACACTTGTACTAAAAAGCACTGGCAAATCAGTTAAATCGAAGCACTTCGTATTCACTAGTGACTGACGACTGACAATAAGCTGATGCTTCGTTTGGAACAACTTATGGAAAACTGAGGAGACGATCTTCAGTTACTTTCGTTGTTCTGTCAACAGATCAACTGTATTGGTAGATCATCGTTTCTGAATATGAGTACAATAGTGTGAGTTCGATAAGAAGCAATAAAATTTTGTTTAACCCAAAAAGACTTAAACTCACGCTTCACTTGGAGAATGCACTTGCATTTGTAAGTTCTGCACGATCGCCACCGAAACTACGAAACCATGGAATCCTTCCGTCCCAGTACCTGAATAAAAATCTGTGTCAGTGATGAGAGCCCATTCTGCCTTCACAACTTCACATTACATAAGATTTCATTATTCCGTCCTATAGATTCCTCAACTGTAGCAGCTAATCATGGGTACCTATACAAAAGCTACAAAACCAAAGTAAAACACTATCAATCACGTCCTATAGCACACCAGAGTTGCTCTTACAGGTCGAAGACCAGAAAGAGCTTCACGCTTTTCAAACGTCGCTCTATATTTTAACTACTTTTTTGCAAAAAAGATGGTTAGGTGGAGTTTCTTTTTTATGGAACTCACCATTATGATAGTTACTTCGTTGGGTTCTGCTGGAGTATACACGAGGAATAATATTTGTCACAGGTGACACTGAACCACCTTCCGTGGAAATAAATCCCTGATAATTTAGCGCGGGTGTCAAGAAACAAAGCATACACATAAACATTCAAAAAAACATTGGATGCAAATATTGCATACTATTGTTTGTATACAAAACGTGTGAGGCTTTTGAAAACATGGACAGGGTATGTATTTACTGAATGGACCGCCGTCTAGAGATAAGAACACTGTTGGATTCGGTTTGGGATTAATCTTTCTTTACTTTTTAGCCCATGATTAAGAAAGAAAAGAGAGTGACTACGATATGCAGAAAGTCTCAGAAGATTGTTCGTAAACTGCTGAAATATAGGAAATGGAAACTAAACCGGATATTCCCGTGGTGCACTGAGAACGCCGTTGACAATGACACGGTGTCCCGACAGCGAGGTCGCGCAGTTGACGGTTCAGCGACATTGCTGACAAAATATGATATGGCAGATAAAATGTTGTGCACAATACTTTAAAATCGAAAAGTTTACTAAGATCTTTCTTTATTATCGATAATCCTGACGGGAAACAATAATTCCAAACTCTTAAGAAATAGAACTCAAAGGCTTATTCCCAATGTTCAAATGGTGGCTTTTAGCTCCCATTAACAAGAACATCGCAAATGTTAAACTATTTGCAGTAAAGCATAAAAAGCGTTTGACGTGGATAATCCCTTAGAGGTTCTCAATGCTTTAATGCCGTTCGGCGAACCGTAGAGATGATCGAGTGAATATCTGGCATGCGCAATACCTTTCGGCTTTTGGTGTATTAAGTCAATCTTTTACCCTTTAGATAAGTCTGGCACCAATTTATCGACCTAAGGATGGACTGGTTTGTTTGGAGCGCGATAGAGCAAATGAATACGTGGCTGTATTGCATGATACCTTTAACCACTATGACTTTATGATCACCACTATTCGCAATAAAGAATGAACTTCCGGAGTTGACCGTTGCCTGAGGGATATGCCTAGCATTTAACTTCATTAAGCATCGTTAAAGGTGAGTGGATGCATGTCTGCATATAGCTTGAACAATGGCTTGAAATGGCCTAGAAAATTTATTAATCAGTGCTGCCATCTTTCCAGAGAAGTCTGAGGTCAATCAGCCGCCCCCAGAGAGATCAAAGGCTTGGTGAACCCGGACAAGAGATCGAACCAATGAACATATGTGTACTGCAGGGCACCTCTAACCAATGCGCAATACGTGCCCTTATTTCTCCGAAATTCCCATCTTCACTGGACCACACATAGGCCTGTCATCGGCAAACGGGTTTCAGTTATTTTGTGGTCGAATTTGTCATAAAGGGCCAATATAACAAAATATAACTACGAGAAATTGCCTAGTGAAAATCTTACGGCAATAATTGGTGAATACAGACAAAGTTTTATCATCTGTACCACCTGTATCATATCACCCTCCGTCCTGTTGACTGTCGAGTGACTCGAGCGGGCGCCAGTAAACCTTCCATTTTTCCCTGTCGTCTGCAAAAGTATCCTAGTGAGTTCTCCTCGTTATAGGAAGTCGTTGAGCATAATACCTTTCTTCTGGAGTTTTCTGAAGAATTCTGACCATGGGATCGGCGGTCCTTCTGCAGTACCTTTGACATCGCGCAGAATCAAGTCATTAAAGGCTGTTCTCTCGTCAATCGGTTATCGTTCATACGCACAACGTGTCCGGCCCACCTTAGCTTAGACGGTTTGGCGTTGGAGCAGGCCGAAGTTTTGACTCCCTTATCTCACTTGTGTTACACGGGGTACGCCTAGCATTTTTGTTTCGACTGCGCGTTCATAATGCTGAGTTTCCTTCGTCCTTTTTACGCAGCGACCGGGTTTCTGACTCATACTTGAAGGCAAGAAGTACCGTTGAGTCGAAAAGGTGGGCACGGAGTCGGGTGTCTTTGTCCTCCTCACTACATCCTCGATACTCTTGAAAACTCTCCAAGCCGTTCGTTTCCTTCTGCTCAACTATGGAGCTAAGTCGTTCATCATGTCGATTTCCCGACATAGATAGACGTAACTGGAGCATTCGGAAATATTCATTTCGTAGAGCGTGGATGGGACATACGTATTCAATGCGTTCTCCATGAACATCGTTTTTGTGGGATTTAGTCTAAGAAGTCTAAGACCAATTTTTCCACAGGCTTTATCAAAGTCGGCAAGCATACGTTCTGCTTGGCTAATGTTTGGTGTTATAAGAATGATGTCACCAGCAAAACGAAGATGGTGTAATTGCCGACCATCGATTTTCACTCCTATGTTATCCCACTCTAGTGTTCGAGTGACGTTCTCGAAGGTGGCGGTAAATAATTTTGACGATGTGGTATCGTCTTGCCTAACCCCTCTTTTGACACCAGTGTGAATATCGTTGTGGAATGGTGATATCTTCGTTGTGAAATTTCTATACAGCTCACTAAGAAAAAATTTTTATAACTACTCCGCTCAAGAACCGAACCATTTCATATGCTGTATGTCGTGATAAAAGAATAGTATTTAGTTTACAGCTCTTGGTGGAATGCAGCACAATGGTTGGAAGTTCTCTTGCCATACACGAAAAATCGCTAGTTCGACAACGTAGCTCTAGTCTAACAAAGCGCACTATTCCTCCGAGGTAGGAAGATTGATTCCAGACTGATCCTCGAGGATAAAAACCTTGATTTCATAAAAAGGGAAGCCAACGGCAATCACTGTTAAGACCATGTATGCATTCAACCACCTCTACGAATGGAATTGATCCTATAGCGCCTATTCAAGGATTGATCACGTGGTAGTGAACTCTCTTCTACCGTCTATTCCACGTCTGATGGACCGAGATTGTAGACCGATAACTGGCTAGTATTTTGGGAATCTCCATAATAGCAACACCATTTCTAGATGATAAAATCTCACATATGGAAGCTCTCCCTCTCAAAGTATCATACCTTTATAATTATCTACCTATCTACTATACAGTTACCTCTGAAATTCCATCATTAATAAAACCAAAGCTGTCCAGCAACGTATTTGAAGTGATTCGGATTAAAAAAAAAGGAATGCAAACTAGTGCACATCTATTCAACAAAAAAGGAAGGAAATGTGACCCTGTGGTTAATAAAACACAGAAGCGACGAACTCATGTGCTGTACTAACGCATTTGAAGCTCACTGCAAAACGCGCTCTAGAACCACAAGGTCGGTGAGATATGCGCAAAACTCAGCACTCCATCTGAGCTTCGAGCACGCGATTTCTCTTCCTGTGCCCCACGGCGTTCTATCCGCCAGATCAACGGAACCCTTGCCTTGTCCTTCTCTCAGAATTGTTTTATCCGTGTTGATCTAGCCAACAGTTACCCGTCAATGGGAATGATCTGAGGAGCACAAACTAGCACTGAATCCAGTTAAGGTAAAGCTGCATTCGAAATCATAGTGCTTTAACTTTTATTTACTGCCTATTTTTTTTCATGGCAAAGCACGATGAGAGTTCTTGCAGGTATGGAGGCAAAATGGGGTTCTGAGTTCTGCTCTTATCTCAGCTTCTTTGTGGTTGCATTTCGCATCATACCTCTCACGAAAAAAGAATAGGCGGCGAGTAAACTCAGAACACAGTGATTTCAAATGCCCGATTCCTTATTATTCGCCACAGGTGTTTTTATTTTTTCAATTTTTACATAATAATAAAATGCTATGTTGGTAGAAACTGTAGAATTTTACTTCATTTATTATCGTTACTATTGAGCAACCTCTCAACGGTTTACCGCCTCATCGTCGCTGGAAGGTGTTCCTGAGTGTCGCACTGCAATGCACAGCGTGGGTTTCATCCCATGGCAGGGTCACCCAAGCTGAGAAGGAGTCCGGCGCTTCCACCAGGAAGCCTAGCTAAGAGTAAACCAATACCAGAATCCACCACCATCCTGGTATCAAAATTGAATAGTGGCAAGTCTCCCTCTGATCCACAAGGACTGCGACTGTCCATGGTGGTGAAGACCTGAGGCAGACTTTGGTCAGACTGCCCTTGGGATTCCATGGAACCACAATGGCTTAACCAGCAATTCTTCGAAAAATGGAGATTATGCTAAAACCCACACAACCAGTGAGGATCAAGTCAAGCATCAAGTATCAAATATTTAGAAAACTCGCAGAAAGCCATTGTAGCAGAGACGTTGCAAACTGATGACACATATGCGACATAAGTAAGTGTGAAACATACACCTTCGCACGATTAAATATCCACGCACAAATACATCTATGCTCACAAAAATACATCTACACAGATATACATATATGCAACCGCATACACATATATACATGCATATATATATATATATGTATAATTTCAACGATCCACTTTCTATTAACCTCGGCATTGATTAAATAGTTCTCGATATTCTTAATGAGCAAACACGAGGTGCTACTTTATCCTTTATTTTGTTAGCAGTATCGCCTTCTTCAGAGTCCTATACATATTATATATATATAAATATATATAAGGCGTATATATATACATACATGTATATACAAGTACATACAAACGCGCACACAAACACAGTGGTCAGTCAAAAAGAAATGAAGATTCACACTTGAGTGATGGCTGTCTTTGAGGATCATTTCTAGTATCCGGTAAGTCGATTTGTCACTTAAGGCAGAAATTGCCTATTTACGTAATAGTGAAGCTCGAAAGGGTGTTTGCAGTGCTTGGAGAAAAACAGAAGTAGAGAGAGAGAGGAAGAGGAAGAACGAGAAGAAGAAGAAGAAGGAGAGGAAGAGGAACAATATTAAGAAGAAAGAAAGAAAGAAAGAAAGAAAGAAAGAAAGAAAGAAAGATAGATAGATAGATAGATAGATAGATAGATAGATAGATAGATAGATAGATAGATAGATAGATAGATAGATAGATAGAAAGAATGAATGGATGAATGAACGAATGAATGAATGAAGGAAGGAAAAAAGCAAGGAGAGAGAAAGAGAGGAAGAGACGGAATGGAGAAAAAGAGAAGAACAGGAAACAGAGTTGTAAATGGAGTCATGCTATAGAAGGAAAAGTGACGGGGATCAGGTCGTTGAAAGCCTGAAAGAATGTGTTACGAGCAGATTGAAGGTGACCTTGATAGCAAGCAGGCAAAAGCTGGTCAACTTTTTCTAAATCCAGAGAAAAGACGGATAGCCATATTTCATATTTTCATAAAAAATCATTAAAGAAACACTGAATTACAGCAATAACAAATCAATATTGCAAACTATTAAGAATAGCAATATTTCTTTTGTAGCGTATCCAATAGAGCAGGGTAGGGGAGCAGAAGTGATGCTGCTTATTAGGCGCTAGATTTCATTGTAACCTAGTACTGAGGTAATCCAGCTTCTCAGTAGTACGGGGTGGTGCGGACGACACTAGATTCCTGTGGGACGAGGTCGCGTCCTCCAATCTTAAAAAGGTGGCAACCGCCTGTGATGAAAATCTGGAGACTCCTTAACATGCCCGTCCTAGGATCGAGGGAGTTAGACTCTGCCGGCACCCGCCGTGATTCATAGAGGAAACCATGAGATTCTCAAGAGCCGAACCTCTACGTAAATTTTGAAGAGCTTTATGGATTATGGACGCGAGAAATGAATAGAATAGGTGAAGTGCTAAGATCAGTACAATATATGTGATGTCGGGTCGTATTAAATAAAATTAAAGGAAAGGAGGGAGGTGAAATCCGCCGAAACGTTAGATTGTTTATGAATAAAGAATAAAATAACACCTCGCGCTTGCTCATCAGGAATACGAAGAGTTGCTTGATCAGTGCCGAGGTTAACAGAAAGTCGGTTGTGAGATTTGGAGGAAAGTTATTTGAGTAAATGAAAACGAGGCAAATGATTAGTTAGAGAAGCTTCTGTTCTTTCATTGCAACCAATATAACCACTAGCTGCTTGCTGTGACAGCATCGAGTTTTGTATCACATTGGTTATTTAATAAATACACTTGAAATTTTCCGCAACACCACAATCCTATATATCTTTCTAGGCTTTTGCTCAAAGAAGCGATTAATAGAAAATTATAGTTTTTTATTAACACAGATCAGTGCTTTATTCCTTACCTAAAAGCCCGTTGATAAACAACGTAAACATGCATGGTTTGGTTGACCCAAGAACGGTACAGTGCAAAGGCAGCCACGCTCGAACGGTACCCTCGTTAAGATCAAATTTTCCAAATTACTCTAAGGGTTGAATGAACAGAATATGGTGCCCTCGAAGAAACGTAAATTATCGGCACACTCCTCATTGTGTTTTCGGAAGGAAGAGTTATCGATCTCACCTTGACTATTGTTGAGTATTCGGTCAGGATCACAGATGTACATATGCTGTCGATTTCGTGGTAGTACTGCAGCACACTGGCTTACTGTTGGACCACGCAGATCCGGAAACTGCCCAGATGTCCACTGAGACTGCGAAGCGGCCGAGACGAGCATCACCCAGAGCAGCAAGTCGACGCTCGGCAGCAACGCCATGCTAGAAAAATCACGTGGCTTTCCAGCCTTTCCAACGAGCATATTTTAAAGCATAAAATTCTACGTCTACATATCTTCAAATTAGAAAATGCAACTGTATGCATTGACCTGCCTGCGTGTAGTCGGTCTCGGTTCACCGATTCAGCAGCCGTTCTCGTTCAGCAACCGTAGACAGCGTCAATGAGATATGAGATCAGTAGAAAACAGTCAGATGAGAATCCACACGCTATGAAAAATTGGGTGCATCTACAGCCTCTAGTGCTATTATACTTTTCGAGAAAAAAGAAATCTATGGAACTGCCAACTATTCAGAAATCGCTATAGTAGGTTTCACCACAAAATTCCAGTTTGAAATGAAAGGTAGTTTGAAAAGAAGGTACGGTTTTTTTTGTTGGAAACAACTTGCGGGATTCCTAACAATATGGGGTTGAGTAAGTCAACACGTGTTCTGAAATAAGCAGTGTATTAGTTATTGCCATCTAACGACTAGAACGGAAAAGTCTAACTGAAGAATATTCCACTAATTCTCATTAAAAGAGTAGGGTAAGCATAAGTTTGGTTTTTACAGAATGATTAAAAAGGATATTGCTGAAGTTAGAATCAGTCAAAAGCGAAAGCAGAAGTACAGCAGAGGTTGTAGAATGCGAATGATCACTAAAGCGGATGGTTTCCAGTGATTTATGGAAGATGAAAGCGAGAAACATGAATCTCGCCCTGATATGAGAGGTTTGGAAGGCATTGAAGCTATGTACTGCATTATCAGGTTGAACGGATGCCTTGCTGATGTCTATCAGAGTCGCTAATAGAAATGATATGGGTGAAGTGAAGAGCTGAATCTATCAGAAAGCGATCTCCCACCCTTTCAGTTAAATGACTGAATAAACGGTTTTTAACATCAGGGATAACATGTGGCACGATCTCCTGTTATGATGTTGGAGTAGCTTAAAATAAAATAGTTGTCGCACAAATAGAATGATTCCATTAGGACCAGGTGTTGGCTTATTTGTTTAACAAAGCATATTTGTTGGAAACTTATGCGATTTTAACAGACATTACGCAACGCTGTAAAGTTGTCATTCAGACTTAACGAGACCTGCTGTCAGTTGTTTGATTCATTTGCTTTCGTATGGAGATATTAAACCAGCTTAGCTTGAACTAGGCAGAATGAGCTCTTTGGTAGGCTTAGTGTCGAGATTTTGTTCGTATTTTTGTTGAGCAAACGCGAGGTGTTATTATTACACATGTTAATAACATGTTAATGGTGTTATTAATAATAACACCTCGCGTTTGCTCAACAAAAATACGAACAAAATCACTTGATCAATGCCGAGGTTAATAGAAAGTCGGTCGTGGCAGTTAGTGTCGAGATATTTGCTGTGGAATGTTGTTTTTTGTGAATGGAGTACTTTAAGGAATTTCAAGTGAGGCACGAGATTTTTTTTGCGAGTAATGAAGACGCAAAAAGATTAGCAGCAATGGAAGAGGAAGGAAGTGAGTGGATTAAGAACTCATCGAGGATGAGAGAATGAGTGACTACGACGCGCTGAGGGCGTGGCACAACCGAGCGAAAGGCACCTCGTCGTCGTCGCTACAAATGGCGAATCCTTGTGACGGCAATGATGGACCAGGGAGAACCCCTTTGCTGTTGCCACGTTGTAATGCACGGTATAGCAGACTCAGATCTCCGTGAGCGCGCCAAGCAAGAATTTGTAGAGCAGTAGTTCGACTTATGGGAACTCCAATAAAGGATAGAATTATGTTACAACATCACAAGCGAGCTACCTTCCAAACCTCGCTAGATTCACTTAACGAATATACTTATTTCGGTGGGCATCGATAATTGACAAATGATATCTAAAAGTAAAGCAAGGTAACGAGACTTTTGAGGAACTCGAGCTGTTGCCAACATGTTAGGCGGTGGCATCAGATGCTTCGAGCTATGGCATCAAGGGCAATCAAGCTTATGATCAGCAGTAATTCGAATGATGTCTATTACGGCAAAAGATTAGATGCGAATTTGTAAATAGGTTAACTCTTCGAGCTCATTATACAGAACGGGTTGACAATAATTTTTCCTTCGGTCAAATGATGAATGGAATGGAATTTGACAATGTCGAGCACCAACCACGAAACTGCTAGGCGTCACCATCCGTTCCCATAAGCTATAAAGTAATGAGAGAAAACGGTAACAGAGATGCTATTGACAACTATGGATTGTGTGTTGAACACTAGTATGATTTACTATAAGAAATCTCTATCATATAATAGGCTCTGAAGAGGTAAGAAGTAATCTAGTCAGAAACAATGTGCAGAATGCGAATCAAAGTTCATCTTAGCATCTTACTTACTTACCTGAATACCTGGACGGCCTACTTTCACTGGTTGTGCGGCCCAGCACAATTTCCACTTTTTTTCTCCTTTGGAGACGTCTCTGTTGAGCCATTGTGGTTTCCTGGCATCCCGAGGTCAGTCTGACCAAAATCTGCCCCATCTTAGCATCTATCAACTAGAAATTGTTCAGAGAAACATTTGCACGTCTAAGGTGAGCAAGATTTATTATGTGGTGCTGACAAATGGCGTAACAATTGGAAACGATTCGATGATTGTGCCAGATCAGCATCCCACACTTTATACATATATATACATATACATATATATATATATATAATGTGTATATGTGCATGTATAGCGTATATATGATGTCTACGAATGCACATCTGTGATGTGAATAATGAATAAAATTAAATAATATATACATATATATATATATATGCATATATACAACGGTGCGTGTAACGCAGTGGCTAGAGGAGTTCTGAAACACACTTGATCTTTAGTTCGATCTCACGTCCCGGACTCGATAAGATTACAAAAGAGTTGTCTTGGTATAAAAACACTCATCGGTATGCTTCTATTACCCATTGTAAAAAAAAGCTCTCGGCGTTGATCGATCCCTAAGGGACGCGCCATGCATTCGACTTCATTAAGCATCGTTTGGAGGTGATTTGAATGCATTTATGGCCTTTACAATGACTTGCAATGGCCTACCGATGTATAGAGCCTGTGCTGCTATCCTTCCAGACAAGTATGGTACTAATTTGTCGACCCTGGAGGGATGGAAGGCTTGGTGGGCCATGGGCGCGGGGATCGATACCACGTGTGTGTTGCAGAGCGCCTCCGACCACTGCGCCACACTCGCCCTATAACCCATTTTATTGGACAAATACCCATTCATTGACCTTTACAAAGCTACTAGTGGGTTCGAATGCATTCTCTAAGCCTCATATACGCCATATATATGCTAGTTGATGATATTTTACGTTGAGCTAGGTAATCTTATATGTCCCGTGATGAATTGACGACACCGACGAACAGATGTTTTGAAAGATCGCTATTATCTCCCTCATATAACACCTAGTAAAAGAATCAAGCAGAACTTTACGCCTTTTTCCGTTGTAGCAAGAAATCCAAGCGTTAAAAGTTTGACTCCTAAAACTCGATTTCGTCTTTCTAGACAACCGCTGGCACTTTTTCAATAACTACGGGTACTAGGAGTGTTGATAACTTAATAGACTTATAAAAGAGACCTTAGTCTATTATTTAACAACATGTTTGATCTTTGAGTGCAGGTACTCGACTGTTCAAGTTGTTTACGATTGAAATATCTAAGAGATCAAGAACAGAATTCAATTCGTTAGGTCTCTCAACATAAGCCCAGCTGCCGCAAGCACCAGCGAAACATTGGAGGACGCCATTCTGTCCCGCTGGCCGAAATCTTGCCTGTCCGTTTGCCTTCGTGTTCTATATATGAGTCTTAACGCAAAAATTTGGAGGGAAAAAGGTTTCTTAGGCTCGGAAAAGCCAGAATTTCACACTCAGAGAAGTTTCGCCTTCTAGGCGATGATCCATAGATTAATTGCTTCCGCGTAAGTTAAATAAGTACAATATGAGCTGAAATACGTTGGTTTAAATCTTAAAGCGATGATTGTTTTCGCATCAAATGCCTTGAATTCAGCGCATTTCGGAAGTTATGTGTTAAAATTGAAAGCGGCTGTCACTACCGCACTCTATGAATTGAAATCGAGTCACGTTGAACTGTAACTGTCAAATAGAAAACTTTTCTACTTGGTTATTTCGTTTCATCTTTTTTGGAAGAGTGGATAAACTGGAAAAAGTAAAACGCATAAAATTTTTTCACGACTGGTCTTCTGAATCTACCATGTGGATCCCACCACTTCTTGCAATCGATTCGTTTCCTCGCATCCACCATCGGCGATGGACTTCCATTTTTTTCGTGTGGATCTGCTACTCCTTGAGGATTTTCCTTTCGTCAGGAATGTCGTCGAACGATAGTCGAGTAGATTCTCCATGCCAAGCTATATATAGATAGCTAGATATAGCTAGATAGCCAAGCTAGAGCTTCCCCACATGCTTTGAAAACAATGAACATTTCCCTGACAAGTTTAATACCAACTGCTCGACCTTCGAGAGTCGAGAAACTTGGTGAAACCAGGATGGAGTCTCGAACCAGCACCGTGCTAATGATGGGCAATGTCACTACCACTGCACTACCGGCCTCCCAATACATGCAGTATACCATACTAAATGTGAGATTAGTTGCAAAACTCGTACCGAAATTCTCATGCAAAATAGTTATCACCATTGACGTTCACTACAAGAACAATGTGGAGTTTTGCAATATTTCAGCAGCGCTGTGGTTGTATCTTTCATAATAAGCTGCCGTGAAAAAATATAGTAGGCAGTAAATAAAAAGTTACATTGTGCCCATACGTTCAATCACTTTCAATGGCTTTAACCTTGCTCTAAGAGATGTGCAGGCAAGAATGATGTTACTAATAAATGACGATCGGCCAGTGAACAGCACGCGACAAAAGCAAAGCGGAATGAAGACGAAAATGAATGACATAACGCAATGTCGAGTATCTGAAGCTATAAGTGAA